AACAATACCAGTATACAATTTATATTAAATATCGAACATTCTTCATACACAAACTAAGACGCGCAACTTATAGAACTAAGTTTCAATATATCTTCTATACACAGTATAAAGGAAACAATAATTTACAATACTTTTCCCTGCGGGTGGTTACCTACAGATTCCCATGTAGTTCCTAAGTCAAAAGAGCTACAGCTAGTTTCGGTGTTATAAATATTTATATTGCATCTAAATAATCACATTACAGTCTATGTCTTTATATAGTAATCTTTGGTCTTTGAGTGAGAAGAATTATGTACAAACTAAGCGAACTCGATCACTACACGCCACAGTTTCATCTCGTCCAATCATCACTGGAAGACAAAGGCGAAAAGGCGCTCATTTGATTGTGAATTCTGGAAATTCCCGGAATCTCTGGACTTTGCGAGTTGCTTTTGCGCGACATTTCACTCTTGGACTGGCTCCTACCTTCATTGCCAATGATCGAATCTATTGAGAATCCGGTGCGGGCCTTTTTGCGAATATCCGTCGGTAAATAGTCTTCGGCATCGGATACCGGAGTAACACTTGGTTGCACAGGCACGGGCTTGCAGATGTTCGCTTGAGGGAGCAGGCCTAAATGAGGCAGCCCCAAGCGCGACAAATCGATCGGGTTCAACATCGGCAACCCGTTCGGAATGCCTGGAATGTACGGGTAGGGGTTGTGGAGCGACGGATGGCTGAACAGTCCACTATGGTAGCTTTCTTGGCTCTGCAGGAACTGGGCAACCATTGCAGACGTGTGATGGTCGCGCAGCATCAAATTGGCTGACGGCCTCTTATAGCGCTTCCTCCTACGCAGGAAACTGCCATTATCAAACATGTCTTCGGCCAGCGGATCCAGCGTCCAGTAGTTGCCTTTGCCGGGATTGCCGGGCTCCCGCGGGATTTTGATGAAGCAGTCGTTCAGCGACAGATTATGCCTGATGGAGTTCTGCCAGGCGGGAAACTTCTCCCGGTAGTAGGCGAACCTGGTCATGATGAACTCGCAAATGCCGCTCAGCGTCAGCTTCTTCCTAGGCGACTGCAGGATGGCCATCGTGATGAGCGCAATGTACGAATAGGGCGGCTTGATCAGCTGATGCGTGGACTTCTTCTGGGGCTGCTCCATGTAGCCATCCTCGGACTTCACCGGCGAGTGCGCTTCGCTGGACCCGCGAAGATCCAGCGGACTGTCCGGCATGGGGTAGCGTTGCTCCATTATGTCCGCTTCTTTGATGTCGTCCGTCGCCAAGCGGCCACATTCCTCCTCCATGGCTAACATTTACGTTTGCGGAACCGGTGGAACTTTCAAAGCACTAGAAAATTGGACACAGCGGCGTTCGTCGACCGGCGCGAACAATCAGATCATCAACAGTGCGGAATCTTCGACTGGCACGTCTTTTTAAAAAGAGCGTTATCTTCAAAGCACTGAACATCGGGCAGAGATAAGGAATATCGCGATTATAACACACCCACTGCGGATCAGCCAGAAGTAATTCGGGAGGAGGAGGAGAAAACAGCCAGTCATCAGGCGAGATCAGCGGCGACTGGTTTCTGGAAATGTTATACCAATATTATCATGACAAGAACAATGATGGTTCAAGCCACCACATTTCCGGCAACGATGTGAGAAAACAAAGCGGTTGTCGATGGTGGGGAAGATCCGGGCCACGCCTCCAACCCCTCGCCTACGCCCACTTCACCCCCAAGGTATCAGGTTTACGTAGGGATTTTCACGTTCCTGCAGTAGGGTTGTTGTTCGGCCTGAATGTAGATTGATTTTTTCTCTCCCTCGTTTCAGTTCGACCCCAACTCGACAAATAAAATCATTTTTTATTCGCCATCCGCACAGATGCGGCTTGCACGTCTGCTTGAATTTGCGCCCGACCGAGCACACGGTTTGAAATTTAAATAAATGTAATGCCGTCCTTTCGTTTTGTGCCCCTTTTTTCCACTTTTCCCGATTAAATGCGCAATTCCGTTAAGTGTGTGCCGTTGAAAAGTTGCCATAAGCATTCAACTGGCCATAGAAGATTTCACTTTTTTTCGCTTTTCAAATCTCGACTTTTTGGAACGAATTTCCGCTCTTTTCGCCAACCGTTTCGGCTTAAAAGCACCTTTTTGCCATCACTGCAGTTAGTTTAATCCTGGTTGGTTCGCTCAAACCATTCAATGACGAAAAATTCGTTCTGGCTATTTATTGGCTGTGCATTAAGTTCCAAGTCAAATTCATTCCTGGGTTTCAGTCATTTATTTATCAATCAAAATACGTTTCGGTGTATTTTTCCACCATCATCAGTTTTTATGTGCTGCTTTAAGCCTTGGCATGCTTTTCAAATGCATGCAATATAAACATTTATAACACCGAAACTAGCTGTAGCTCTTTTGACTTAGGAACTACATGGGACTCTGTAGATAACCACCCGCCGGGAAAAGTATTGTAAATTATTATTTCCTTTATGCTGTGTATAGAAGATATATTGAAGCTTAGTTCTATAAGTTGCGCGTCTTAGTTTGTGTATGAAGAATGTTCGATATTTAATATAAATTGTATACTGGTATTGTTCGATTATGTTCACTA